CGGCGCGGGCTATCCCCGGGAGGGGGCGGGCCGCCCTCCCTCGCCCCCAGACGCAGCCTGGTGCCCACCCACCAGCCTTCCCGCAGGACTTGGAGCTGCTGCGCTTCTCACTGCTGCTGATCCAGTCCTGGCTCGGGCCCGTGCAGTTCCTCAGCCGGGTCTTCAGCAACAGCCTGGTGTTCGGCACCTCGGACGGCGTCTACGAGAAGCTCAAGGACCTGGAGGAGGGGCTGCAGGTCCTGATGCAGGTGGGGAGAGGGTGACGCAGAGGCGCCCAGGCCCGATGCGGGCGGGGGCGGCCTGAGGGGGAAACGGGTGCCTCTGGGCCTGCAGGCCCCGAAGTGAGGGCGGGTGGCCGGAGGCGGGAGCAGGCGTCTCCCGGAGTGTGGGGCCTCCGTGCTCCTCAAGCCCCTCGGAGGGGCCGCGCCCAGCCTGAAAGGGAGGAGGAAGCCAGCGGTGGGGGCAGGGGCCCGCCCAGCACGTGGCCTGTCCCCCTCCCCGCGGTGCAGGAGCTGGAGGGCAGTGGCCCCCGCGTGGGGCCGGTCCTCAGGCAGACCTACGACAAGTTCGACACCAACCTGAGCAGTGACACCGCGCTGCTGAAGAACTACGGGCTGCTGTCCTGCTTCAAGAAGGACCTGCACAAGGCCGAGACTTACCTGCGCGTCATTAAGTGTCGCCGTGTCGGGGAGCACGGCTGCGCCTTCTAGCTGCCCGGCCCTCTCCGGAAGGTGCCGCTCTGGCGCCCACCGCCCTTTCCTAATAAAATCGAGTCGCATCATGTTGTCTGACCAGTGTCTTTCTAGGATGGGTGGAGGGGCAGGGTGGGGAAGGCGGCCTGGAGGGATCCTGCAGGGTCACCAGGAGCCGGGCTGCGGGGATAGAGGCGCCCTGGCTCTTCCTGGCCAGAGGGGAGCGGACAGACCCTCGGGCCATCACACGCAAAGTCCACGCCCAGGCCAGGGGGCCCAGCTTGGCGCGTGCTCGCTCACAGCAAGGGCATGGGTCGCCCCCCAAAGTACGTGGAGGTGCTTCTCCCTCCCCACAAGCAAGCCCAGGCTCTGAGAGCGGGAAGAGATGAAAGCCAGAAGGGAGGTGGCCCGAGAAGAGGAAGTGCGTAGGACTCTGTGGGTGCTGCAGTTCTCAGGGGACACTCATTGGGCCCGCCTCCGGGGAGGTGAGAAGGCGGGGCAGTGAGTGTGGGCCGCACAGAGGGGCGTGTTGGGATTGGCGTCGGGGGAGGTAGAAGGGAGGTTCTGCCCCGGGGGCCACACAGACAATCACATGGCACCGAGAAGTGGGCGCTGGGAGGAGTCGTGGCGACACCACCTCGAAGCCCGGGCTGGGGACTGGGCCCTGCAGAAGTCAGGCCCAGCCTGTCGCCCCCCAGGGCTGCCGGGCCAGCCCCACCCGGCCTTCTGGCTTTCCAGACAACCGGGCCACGCAGACTCTGACGTGAAGTGTCATGTCTGAACCCTGGCAACTCATCCATACTGGAGGCGTTGTAAGGGCAGGCAACCCACACACATTTGGAGGGATACCTTGGTGCGGGGAAAGACGCAGGAGGCTCTGGGCTATGGTCCCACGTGCCCCGAACAAGCGGCGAGGCCGCCCTGAAATGCCAACATGTCACTTCACGGGGCGCATGTGAGGGGGAAATGCAGGATGCTTCTGAAGTAACTGATGGATTTCGGCCGCTGTTTTCGCATGGACCTTGGGGACGGGCCGCATCTCCTGGCGGCGTGTCGAAGCCCTGCTGGTAAGTCACGCTGTTTTCCCAAGGGCTTTGCAGACGTATCTTACTCCCAAGGGAATGTGGAAGGGTGGCTGCCGAGGCCCTGGAGTGGAGGGGCAGTCTCCCAGCACCTCAGCTAAGCGACCGGTGCTCTACCAGCCAATACCAGGAGGCGCACAGCAGTGGGTTTATCCAGCAGCGGTGGATCTCCATCATCCGAAAGTCAGCCACTATTTTTGCAAAGCAAATAAAAACGAGCCTTCTTGAAAGTTCAGATTGCTCTGTGCTCTCATGAATTTTTTGGGTAACAAGGCCCACCCGAATTCATGTTGGGACATTTTGCAGTTGGTAAAGTCCTTGGGAAGCGATGGGAAGGTGACCCGGAGCCTCAGAGCGCCACGTCTTTGTTCAGAACCCATTCCTCTTGGGTCAAGCTCTCACTGTCTGGCTGTCAGTTACGGAAGGCTGGAGTCCAGAGGGCCACACAGGTTGTTCTGATTTCCTCTACCACGGGAGTCTTGATCAAAGCATTCACTACAGATGGTATTCTTATTGCGACTAACTGGCACCAGAACCAAGGGAATCGGGGGTTCACAAGGTCACTCGTTCTATTAATGAAAATGATTTCTTATGTTAAGCTGGAATCAATATTCCTGCCACGGCCTTCACTTGGCCTTTTTTCAGAAATCTCATGGTCCTTAGAAGTTGATGAAATGAGCACAGATATAATCCTCTTGGTTTGGGTGTTTTAAAAGGAAACGCAAAGGCAGGCCACAATGGCTCATACCTGTAATCCCAGCACTTTGGGAGGGTGAGGCAGGAGGATCGCTTGAGGACAAAAGTTTGAGACCAGCCTGGGCAACACAGTGAGACCTCATCTCTACAAAAAAAGCTCCTCGGGAGGCTGAGCTGGGAGGACCACCCGAGCTTAGGAGACTGAGGCTGTGGTGAGCTGTGATTGTGCCACTGCACTCCAGCCTGCGTGACAAAGTGAGATCTCGACTCAAAAGATAATAATAAAAGAGAATGCAACCATCTGTTAGGTCACACTCCCAGCGGGGGCCCCCAGAATGCTAGGCCAGGCCCGCCAGGGTATGGGCATCTCTGGTGTGACATCTGGTGTCGCGAGAAAGATGCATAGAATTGCGCAGAAGTTAGATTAGAAAATATAGCTTATTTAGATAGCAAACTTGAGAGAGAGAAAGAGGAGATTCACCTTGCCGAGGTAGGGGAGGGGGCCAAAGCCAGGAAACATGGCCTGGCCGTAGCCCAGAGCACACGGGCCACACCACAGCTTAGCAAGGCAATGGCGGCCGGTTGCTCGCGGTTGAGTCCCTTCCATCCTTCCCTTTGAAAGGGGCGGCTCGTTCAGGTGGCTGGGTGGTGGTCGGCTCCACACCATCCCGAGGGGGCAGGCAAACGCAGGTACTGACGTCAGGTGATGGACAGCAGGCAGACGGGTGAGTTAGTCACATGGCTGCTGCCATGGTGGTAGATTACATGGGAGGAGACAAGGGGAGGGGTTTTCCTGCAGGAGACCTGTCAGCCGTTGCCAATCAACAAGCTCCTTAGCGAAAAGATGGTCTACTCTCATTTCTATGGCTTTGGCCAGCTAAGGGGTGAGCTTTGACCTGCTTTGACAAGGAAGGTGAAAGTTTCTTAGAGAGTATTATGCTAAACCATTAATTGAAAGGTTGGGCTGTCCTGGTCTTGCATCTGATGGAGATTTGCTAAGGGGGTGGGGTGGGCTGCCAGCTTGGCCTGCAGTGAAGTGTCTGAACGCTTCCTAAAACCTGCCGATTGGAAATGTATCTATCTATGTCCAACCTGTGCTAGATTCAAAGCATGTCTAAGCAAAAATGGCTACGCTGAGGCAAAATGTGAACTAAGTTTATTCTAAGTTTCTTGGGGCCCCTCCTCTCACCATCTGAATAAGTATCTGTTGGACAATGTGGCAAGGGAATTAATGCACAGCACTGCTGAGTCTAAGAAGTGGGTTTAAAGTGGTTGTCATTAGCCGGGCTCGGTGGCTCAGCCTGTAATCCCAGCACTTTGGGAGGCCGAGGCAAGTGGATTGCCTGAGCTCGCGGGTTTGAGACCAGCCTGGGCAATTTGGCAATAAATAAAAAATAAAAAATTAGCCAGGCATGGTAGCAAATGCCTGTAGTTCCGGCTACATGGAAGGCTGAGGCGGAAGGGTCACCGGAGCCCAGTGGGTAGGCACTGGGGTGGCTGTGAGCGTGCCCCTGCACTCCAGCCTGGGCAATAGAGTAAGACTCCAACTCGAGAGAGAGAGAGAGAGAGAGAGAGAGAGAGAGAGAGAGAGAGAAAGAAAGAGGTTGTCATAACAGAACTGGACTGCAAGGGTTGCCACACTCCAGAGAGCGTCCACTCAGCTCCCCCTGGCAGAAGAGAATCAGCTCAACAGCTGCTGGGTGAGAATTAAAGGAGTTAGCTGACTTTGCAAACTTTTAGAATTGACCACGGTCTCAAAGGCCACCTACTGTCAACTCTTTGATGTG